ACACACACACCACACACACACACGCGTGCGCTGGCCCTGTTGACATGTTTCTGGTGTGGTGGCAACACAGGGTCAAGTCATCGGCCGACATTCCCCAACAGCAGTGGGACGAGACCAAGAAGGGCGTGGCGCGCGCACTCATCGAGGCCACGGTCAAGCACAAGGTGAGCCTGCCGAGCGAGATCATCCACCACATCCTCAAGCTGGCCAAGTGGGGCTTCACGTGGGAGGAGGCCAAGGCGCACCGTGAGAAGCTCATGTGGGAGCGCAAGTATTATGTGACAGCAACCAACGAGATCTGGGAGCGCAACTTTAGCTTCTGTGAGCACTAAGCTGCGCAAGACGAAGACGAACAACAAACGTATCATGACTGAAGAAACGCTCCTGCGCACGGTCAACTGAAAAGACCAGCCACAAACAAAAGTTGATGTTCTCCTCTAGGTCCCTCTATCTCTTCATATCCTTCACCTATATGACCAAGCTCAAGGCATTTCAAACAGGACTTGGGAGAACGCCCCACCTACATGCCCATCTCCAGGCAGAACCCATATGAGGTGGCAAATGATGTGTTGAAGATAATTTAAATCCAACTAGCAATTGTGAACAAGCATGGTTTGTACATAGTGCTGATGGTTGAGTATAATTTTGCCTTCCTGCTTTTCCTCCAGTATGCTGCACAGGATTCCAGTGAATATTCATGAGCAGGCGTCCAGGCAGTTTGGTCTCACTGGCAACTACAACATGGATGAGCACCTCATTCAGCACACAGTTTTTGCCCTGGTGGAATGCCTGGTGAAACAGGCAACCAGCAAGAGACAAGATGATGGCCAGGACCAAGCTCAAGAGATGATGAAACAGTGTGGATGGACTACATACTGCACTTAGAGTGGCGCTGCAAAACAGCAGTGGGACCTCTACTTTCACTGTCAAAACAGAAGGGCCAAAAAACCCAACAATCTGCTAAAAATTGTGGATTGTCAGGTATCTTGGTGACTGAATGATGAAGAACATTGAGGAAACCCACCAGAAGAGTGTTGATGGGACACTGTGGGTGATGGTGAAAAAAATCAAGGAAGCTCGCCCACCAGAAGAGTGTTGATGAGACTTGATGTGAAGAATGGAGAAGGAGACATGCCAGGCCATGGAACTCCTTGCACATGGGGACTCTCTTAAGCTTTGGAGGGCGTGTCCTTGATGACCAATTTGAAAGAGTTGATCTTCCTTCTTCCTCTCCCACTCCTTCTCCTTCACCTCTTGTTCATTGTTCTTTTCAATGAAAGCAGCAGTGGTGGTGATAATGATGATGAGAGCAACAAGGACTTGGGCAGTGGCATTGATGACGACCAGAGCAATAGCAGTGATACCAGCACCAGTGACTCCAGCAGTGGTCCATCAGTTCAAGCCAATCTGTATGTTAAATCGTTTATTTTCTTGCTTTCATTACACAGTAACTAAAAAGAATAAAGGATTTATCAAGTCCTTGCATTGTCAGTTCTCTTTTTTCTCCTCACTTGTGCTGTATCGTCCAACGTGCGGACCCACTGTGTGATCAGCCACTGTCAGCTATGTCACCCCCCATCTCAGCCACTGTGTTCCAGCAGCTGAAGGAGGCCTTGATACCCTCACCAAGCAAATAGGCAAGGATAACATGCTCCATCCCTGATAACTACACCAACCTCATATTTGACATCAATTCCATCTTGGTATGAAACATACAGAGTGGCTCAAATCATGATAAAAGGTATACCTTTTATGGTTTCTTAAACTCACTTTTCAAAATGACTGGACCTCTCATTTCAAATGACTGCAAGTTCAGAGTGGTGGTGACAACAAGGACCAGAGTGGTGGCAATGACAAGGACCAGAGTGGCAGCAACAACAACAATGATGAGAGGATGGAGGAGTAAAAAGTTGAGAGTGTATGTACTCAAGTCTCAACAATATGTTACAAACACATAGGCCCACTACATACAATTACTGCACATCATGTACTGCCATCATTAAGTTCAGTGTTTCCCAGCTGACCTGCATGTGGGTAAAACACAAGGCCATCAACAAGCCACAACACCCATTTTCTCTGTTTTCTTGGCCCATCTGTTTTTGCAGTGTTAGTGCCAAGAAAAACACCGCCAAGCCACATATAATGGTCGACAACTAGAGGGACAGTGAGCTGAACCCACTTCTACCTTTGCTGATGATGGAAGCCAGTGATGCAAGAACAATACAAAACTACGATTGGCAGCAAAAGATAATGATCGAGTATCTGCCAGGCGCTTTGGGGCAATTTTGTATGGGATGGACAAAATAAAAATCGCCTGCTCGGCCCAAAATCTCGGCAGACTTAGAAATTCTTGGCCAACAAGAGTCGCCTTCGGGCTTGCAGCCTTCTCAGCCAATAACAATCAGACCTCGCCTCAGATCTCGGCTGGATGGGAGGCTGCACCACCTACAAAAACGCACAACAACAGACTTCCTTTTCATTGACAATACTCACAACTTCAACAACATGTCTGCCCCTTCTGCTACCACCCAGCAACGCATTCTCGAAGGCAAAGTGGCCATCGTGACCGGCGCCTCGTGGCATCGGAGCTGCCATTGCCAAGCGTCTCGCTGCTGACGGTGCTCTCGTTGCTGTCAACTATGCCAAGGTATCTTCCTATGGCGCACAGCATC